GTCTCTAATCAGGCTGAAAGGTCCAGGCTGAAATTCCCCTCTCCAAGTTTAGACAAATTCATTGGAGGAAAACTCCAGGGTTTATTAAAGGCAAAGATATTACTTCTGACTCAGGAAGTCCTTGGCCACAACTTGCTAAGAGACTAGGGAGGTTTACCAGGAAGGTATTTTGTGCTTCCCCTCTTCTTTCACTCCTCCTGCAGCATTTACTGCAGATCCATCCCATGAGAAGGACACTGGACAGTTGTTCTGGTCTGCTTCTCTGGATCTGAAGACTAACCCAAATTCAGAGCAGTAATGGGCATGCTGACCTACTTTTAAGCATTGCCCAGGGTGGTCTTGGCAGTGTCAGATCCTTCCTTTGGACTTGTCCCTAGCTCTTTCTCACCCCACATGCCTTCTGACTCTTAGAGAACAACTCTTGGATGTGATGATGTCCTTTTACCTCCCCCACCTTCCATTATTTTGTGTGCCCTGCTGGCAGGAACACTTGGCATTTGACTTGCCCTCATAACATTCATGTTTTTCTTGGAGCTCTCAGAGATAGGATTTTTCCCAGCCTGGATGAGTTGCTGTTATTTCTATGGAGTCAGCAGTACAATAGACCCTCTTGGGAGCCAAGACCTTGTCTGTCTGATGGTTCAGGCTTACAAGGATTCAGTCCCGCATGCTTAACGTTACCCTTTGATTTCCAGGATTAGTGTCTGACTGGTGGCAGGTGAGAAGGCAGAACAGCCCAGCACAAAAGGAAAGAAATAAATTAAGTTTACATTGCAACATGTATTCACTGAGGACCAAGTTAGAGAAACAGGAATGAAGGAGAGGGCATTGCTGGCACTGGGAGCAGTGAGCAGACAGCAGTCTTGGTGGTCATAGAAGTAACAGTGCCAGTGGAGAGGATCTTCCCTCTCATGTTTTTTTAACATGTAAGCTATCCATGCTTAATATAAGTCACAATTTAGCATTTAATGTCTCTGCACCGTAGTTTTCCTATTTTTAAAAGTTGGCTTAAAAGTTCTTAGTTTCTCTCAGCAGAGTAGGTAAAAACTAAGAGCTAAGGCATATTAGTCACAATATTATCAGGAGATGAAAGTGATAGAGATATAAAGTACTACCAGCTTTTAATTAAAACTGAATAAGTAAAAAAACAGTTGGCAGTTGCAGAATTCATTATGATGTGTTACCAAAAATAGATACCTTTATGAGAATGCAGTTTTATTACAACAGTGGGCACTAATCAGCTGTAAACATCTTGCTGAGATAGCCAGATAGAAAATGTGTTACTAATACTCATAACACGACTCAATTGCCTGGAATGGAAAACTAGAAACTGTTAAGATGCTTAAAATGTGATCTCTCAGACTACCAAAGTAGAGGTATGCACTTCTGTTACTTAAGGCAATATCTGAATTTCAGGAACAATAACAGTGTTTTCTGTGTCTGGTTTTAATTTGCAAGGAAAACTCACTTTTACCAAAATGTACCCTGACTTAGCTGAAATACACATGACCCAGTGTTTTTAATTTCTTCTCTCTATAGAATAGTCAGACTTGCAGTTTAGATCCTCCAAACTTCTTTACATTTCATTTGGTAAAAAATGCCTTTGCCCTTAATGAAAACATCTTCCAGTATGAGTTTACATGTACGGATCTACAGTTCAGAGCATCTTACCGACCAGTTTGGGATGTATGTGTGCGTCTTGTGTAATCTCTGCAAAATTTACTGTCACTGTAAAAATTACTCTCCTCTCTCCTCCTGTAATGTAGAACATCAAGCAATAACAACAAATCTGTGGGAGGTTTATCTGATTTATGCTAATTTGCTATTGACATGCTTGAGGTATCACTTGCATCATCCCAGTCTTGCATATTTATTATTAAAAATATTAGCTGCTTATGAAAAGGAAATATTTTGAATAATGATTCATTTGTGCTGTGATCACCTCTTGAAACCAGGGCCCCACTCTGGTAGACTGTATACAAAATCATTGCAAATTAAGTGCAACCTGAAGTGTTTCAGATAAGCTTGCAGCAAGAGGACAATTTGAATCCAGGAAGATTAACATACCCCACCTACAAGGAGCAGGTCTCAACTCATGGAACTTAAACCATTAAACATGAGGCTTCTAAATCACCTCCAAAGCCAGTATGGGAAAGAAGTTACTACAGCCTGTGATTTAGCTCACATAATGTAAAGATCTGAAGCCTTCATGGGAGGCTCAAGCAGCAGTACCTAAGCTTGAGCTTATATTTTCAAACTTGGAGGCTTCGCCATAGTCTCCTAAATTCTTGTGTTGGTACCTAAGCGAGCATACACAGAAGTGATGAGGGAAGTGATGACTCCTTAGCAGTCAGAAGGTGCTGCACAAGGTGAATACTCCTCCCGAAAAAGCCACTTAAATGCCTAACTTGTAGGGCTGAACTTCAGAAGTAAAGTCACGGGCAAAGGCCCCACACTTTAAAACTTCAGCCACCTTCCTTGGGATCTAAATACTGATAAAAAAATAAATTATCCTTTGTAAGGAATCCCCTGTCCTAGATCTTGCTAGTGCTGATGCTTTCTAACATCGATTGATACGGTGCCCTGATACACTGGAACTCCATGCCAAGTTCATGGGCTGAAACAAAGTACAACACAGAAAAATGTGAGTTTCCAGATGTTTTTCACGGGAAAGATTAGAGCTGCAGTATGTCAAATTTTGCAGATATGTGGACCTACCAATATTTGCAATATTGCTTAGCCTTGTTTTCTTAGTGGGATTTCACCCATTGCTTTTCATTTCAGAACCTTCCTTAAAAAAAAAAACACACAACTTTTTCCATCCAAAACCTGTATTTACTTCAAATATTATGTCCTTATGGTAGAATAAACTTTATATATGAGCCATCTAAGATTAACATGTGACAGAGGGTTTTTTTTCTTACAACTGGTGACTGCCACAATTCTATTTCTGGTCTCCATACCATTGCAGTTTGGGTACTTACTGTTAAATTGTGCCCACTTTTTCCTTCTGATTTGCAAGTGCTTGTCTTTGTTAGGGGGTCAGAAGATATGTTAATATTCTTGGAGATTAAAGCCTTGAAATTCATATCGACATTAGACATTGGAGGTCCTTTTCCCCCAGAATCTGCACCCCGTTATTGAATGAGGCTTTAGTAACATACACAGAAATATCCATGATGCTTGCCTGAATATCCCCTTGGTATTTACAGAGTAGAATCATGGAATTATAGAATGGCTCAGGTTGGAAGGGACCTTAAAGATCATCTAGTTCCAACCCCAATAACTGGAGTCAGAGTACCTGGGTGAGAAACATTCCTGAATGCTTTAAATATTGGAAAGGAAAGAAGAGCAAGCTCTGTTAAGGAGGAAGGAAAAATATGGAAATAGACCTGGCATACCGAGAGGTGCCCTGTTGGAGCGATGGCTGCAACACCAGTGCCCAGAGTACCTCAACCAGAGCTGTGCTGCCTCACAGGGCAATGTGCTCAGTCCAGAAGTGGGTGTGAGAGATTTTGGTTGCTCCACAAGTGGTGTCTGCTGTTATCATCCGGAAGGTGATGGTATTAGACAGGCACGCAGGACTGACCATAAGTTAGGAAACACTGGTCCTTAATAGATGTGGAAGGCTGAATGCCAGGGATGCAAAGATCAGCTGATAATGTGCAAGAGCAGCACAAGGAACCCAGGCTGAGATGCTGCAGAAGGCAAACCATGAAGTAACTCTAAACCCTCCACGTTCACTTGTGTTTCTCACTCCTCTCTTGGCAGTCAAAGCCAACACAGGCACTGAAGGATGTCATCCTCTCTGAACGCTGTGTTGCTACATTACAATCTAGCTTGTGCAGCCAGAGAGAAAAATGTTCTCTTACCTTGGGACACCTTGAGGACTGCACCCCAGGGCAGTGCTGCAAAAACATTGCAGAACTGCCCCAAAGGAATGGAAAGCCATGGCAGGTGTTAAGTTTGCTGTTATTACCAGATAAGATTCAAAGACAAACAAATGCATTCAATTAAAAGCCCAAATTTAAATTAACAGAGCAAAGTTAGAAGAATATAAACCAATGTGTATACATTTCATTAAGGTTATACTTAGCTATATCTGTATCTATCTATCTATCTATCCATGTAGATATATATCTCCTCCTTAGCTGCTCTTGTGTCTCAGCTTTTGACTCTGACTGATTAGTTTCTGCATGGAATGCTGGACTGGTGTGCCCCTGGGTACACAGAGTTGCTTACACCTTGCTTTCTTCTTCTGGTAAAGGTGGGGACCTGCATCTCTTCTAGCTCAAGGTGTATTTATTCTTCTTTGTCTGCCCTTCATTCCCTGGCATTGGGCCATCGGGTGTTTTCTAGGAGATGTCAGTATTTCATTCTGCCCCTCCCCCTTAAGGTTGCTTCAATAATATCTTGTCCATAACGCTTTTTGGCTTTTGTTTTTCACTAATTACAGTCTTGTTAAAATACAGCAGCATCCCTTACAAAGTGATGTGTTATGATAAATAGTACAAATTCCTTTTAAAGCATAAACAATATAAACGGCTATATGGCGTTTATGTATGGTATATGACACTCAAACACAAACTGATATTGAAGGTAGATCTGCCAGATCTCCTCCACTTCATCCTTTCTTAGATTTTGGGGACTCACCTGCGTGTTTCTGGGTTTTGGTGAACTTGAATGGTGAATACCAAAGGCTTTGCACATCTTCAGGCCAGCTTGCTCTCCTTCCCAGCCCTCCTTTCTAGCATCAGTTGTAAATAACCACATGCACACACACAAAAGTGGTTACCATCTAAAAATCCACATTTTTAAAAATACATTATAATACAGTGTATTTTGCAGTGTGTTGTTCGCGGAGTGGTGCAGAAATACGTTGTGGCATCTTAGGTATCACTGAGATGGAGCTTGGCAAATGTTGGATTTTATTTGCTTATTTTAAGTATTGGCTATCTTTGTTAAATACTAAATAAATTTTTTCTTGTTTCCCATTCTAGTTCGTCATATATCAGATGATGATAATGAGACCATTGAACAAATTGATGAAGATATAGCTGTGACTCGGAGTCAGATGAACTTTATTTGTCCCATTACACAGGTAATGCTATCACTGCTACAATAATCGACTGGGAAATAGTTATTTCATATTCTACATTGGTTGGTTTATTAAAAATCTGCAGTACCTGTTAAAAAACAGGCAGTATAAATTAGAAGCGTTATCACAGAAGAACAGCATTGCTTGGGAAAAAAACCCAGTAAGTAGGAATGCAGTTTACCAAGCAGGGCTTGATCCCATAATTTGACTGGAATGCCATGTATGAATGGCAAACATGCTTCCTGCTGTTTTACATAAAATCTCATAAGAAGCATTTTCATGGCCATTATCAGTTCCTTTAAATCAAACCTTATTGATTACAGATGGAAATGAGGAGGCCGGTGCGAAACAAGGTCTGTGGGCATTCCTATGAAGAAGAGGCCATTGTAGAAATTATCCAATCTCGAAAGCAGAAAAAGAAAAAAGTCCGGTAAGCTAAAAAGAATGTGTGGAAAAGCTATTTGCTTTGCTGTGTAAGTGGAATTTTACTCCACTTGTTCTAGGAAATGTATTTGGATTGGCAAGGCTGCAGGAAGTAATACCTCAGCATCTGCCCAAGTCACAGCCTTCTCATTAGTACTGTACACGTGAAAGAGCGTTTCTTTTTAATGAAAACAATGTGTAAGAAAATATTCAGGAATTGTGTGGGGAAGTTACAGCTACTTGTGGTACCTGCACAACAGAAGTAAAGAGAAGCTTCCTAAAATTTAGTTGCTGATTTTGTTCCCACTGCTTGTGTAGCAAGTCCTGAAAATAATGAAAACAAACAAAACAAAAATCTCCTCTGTGCACCCTCTTTTGCAGTTATATTCCAATACAACCGAGAAATATTAAAACACCTGAGAAATATTAAACCACAACATTTCAGGTAGTACAGAATTTAGAATGATCAGACAGTGCAGTACAGATTGTGCAGTTCCTGCTATGATGCAGTTAAAGAATTCTTTCTTTATATCATCCAAGCAGCCTCTCACTTTCCACACGGGACATATTTTTTTGATTGAAAAGATGTAACAGTTAATTTTTAAACCTCAAATTCTCCCCAGTAAGTTTAAAAACCAGGATGATTTTGATTTAGGGGAAAAAAAAATAAAAATAAAAAGAAAGAAAATAAAAGGGTCTCAAACACTTTTTAGAGCACGTTGAGAGGACGTATCATTTCATCATTGATTTCACATTTGTTTTTACACCCTTTATGCTAGAGCTTCATGCTTTGAGACTGATGACGTCATGGAAACTTACCAGTTGTGGACTTTTAAATAAATGTGGAGTTTTCAGATGCTCAGGGTAAGGTCTCACAGGGACCAACAACCTGATTTCCCCAGAGATAATGCCACAGGCAGTTTATTTCCTCCATCCATTGTTGCTCTGGCATTAATTTCTGTTAGACTCTATATAGTCCTCCACGGGGATTACAAAGGTGGAGCAGGATTTTTTATTCCAAACTCCTTCCCTGCTACAGGAAAGCAGTGCTATAAAATCAAGCATCAGTTGGGATGTCCAGCCACTACCTTAGTGTCAAGACAACTTGAAGTACCTTTCCTATGTTACGAGGTCTAGGTAAAAAAAGTGGAATGGGTGCAGTATCCTGGGAATAACAACAACACCAGCAACATGGATGGACAGAAACTTGGATGGAAAAATGAGCAGGAGTTGGGAAACAGCTCACAAGTTGGAGAGAAGAGAGTGTTCTGGAGGATAGGGAGAAGCTAGGAAGCATGTGCTCAACAGCCCAAAATCATGACAAAAGTACCTTCTGTGATACAGAACTGAATTTTGGTGTTCATATCTAAATATTTTCCTTGTTAAATCTATCAGGAGAATGTCATGGTAGGAGAGATTGTTGTAGTGGATCAAAAGTTTTAGCACTGCTGAAAAACAAATAGAGTTTCATGACTGAATTTTATTTTACCATATAAGAAGTTAAACACTAGAGAAATTCTAGAGTTAAAAAAATCATGTAAGCTGTACAACACCTAGCTTTAAAAGCTACATTATAGCTAAACTGAAGTTATTTGTGCAGTCTAAACACTGGCTTTTAGCTTGCAGCCTTACCACTTTTACAGCAGCTATTCCAGTGTGCAAGAAAAGCACACACACAGCAATGCCACAGCTTCACTGTAACTAAATTAAGAAGGACTACTTGGTTTTCTCCACCCAGTCTCACTGACCTGCTGTAATTTTAAACTTTCTCATGAAAATGCAGTCACTTCTGAAAAACCATCATCTGCTGTGGTGGGAAGGCAGGCCAGCTGATGCAACAAGTTCCCCATTTGAGTACCCCCTTCTCGTGGTGTTGCTACTTGGCTGTGCTCCTGCCAGCAACACTCGTGTGGGAGCAGGTGTCCTGATGGAGCAGAGCACGGGGACCTGACTCTGAAATCAAAGCTGTTGCTCACTCTGGAGGCACAGAGTGGCTGTTTCCTCACACGTACTTTCCTGTTTGAATCCACAGGATCCTTCAGTGCCCTTGGCAGTGCAGTAGCTGCATGTCAGCCCTGCAGCTGACGTACACACAGCCACCGGTGCTGTGCTGATAGACTTGTCATACGCTCCTTTAGGCAACTCTTACGTCTCTCAGTTTGCTTAGTATTTTCCACTGCCTGGAAGGACATACTTACACTTTATGCTTACAGGAAATGTGGGAAGCTTTCTGAGCACTTGTTATTCATTAATCTGGAAAGCTATTGCTGTATTAAGGTGATAAATGGGAAAACTGAGGCACAGAGCAATTAAATGACTGGTCTATGACAAACACAGTAAGCTGTGGAGAAATCTGGAGTAAAAGTTATGAGTACTAAATGTAAATAAGTTCAGCACCTCAAATAGAAGTTACTCTTAAGAGAGGAAAAATTAGGAAAAGTGTTATTTCTGACTACAGGTTCCATCTGTGCATGTTTGGGCCACTGCCAAAGGAAAATGACCCTGAATATCTTTTACCCTTCTGTCTTTATCTGGCTGTTTGAAGTAGTTGTAAGACATTTTGTATTTGATTATCATCTAGAGGCTGTGAATTTGACCCCATTTGTCCTTTCTAAGCTTTCACAGTTCCTAAAAGATCAGGTTGATCTTTATACCAATTAGATAGTCCACTGATTCACCAGTCAGTCTTTGCAAGTCTCATTCTCTCTATCTGTTTTCTTAGAACATAATTCCTCTTTTTATCTGTTAGTGAAGATTATACTTCTCCACTGCAGATTAGTGAGGTAAGAGGTAGTTACCTGGAGCTTGTAGAGGACTGCAAAGAGAGAAAGCAACACAGAAAGGTGTCCATACAATGCTGATGTCATTGCTGATACAAAGCTGCTTGTGTATGTGAAGCAAGAGAGTGATCTACAGGTGAGAGACCCCATCTCTCCCTGTGCTCCTTCCTTCCTTCTTTCCTTCTTTCCTTCCTTCCTTCCTTCCTCCCTTCCTGCCTTCTGCTGATGATAGTTTAGATAGATTAATTTTTTCCCACAGAGAGCTGGTGAAGAGGAAAAGAGGTAAGGAGGAAATGATGGAGATATGTATCCCAGATAAACGCAAAAACTAGCAGATGTCAGGCAGAAGCCTATATCTGAGAAATAGAATTCTTCTGATTTAATGGAGTCTCTCTTTTCTTTTTAACAGATGCCCTAAAATGGGCTGTAGCTATGATGATGTAAAAAGATCAGACCTTGTGCCAGATGAAGCACTTAAAAGAGTGATTGACAGTCAGAATAAATAAAGCTGGTCAACACTGGACAAGTGAGCTGGATACGCTACTGCCACAAAGAAAATTTGTTATTAGAAGTCTTGTGAGATAAGCTGCTGATTGTATGTTGGTTGTGAGACTGATTGATATTTTTTTAAGTGTTAAGTGTTTAATTTATAGGCAAATCATTGTTAAGTGTTTCATTTATAGGCAAAGTTGAAGGCCTCAACTCTAACTGAAAGCATTTTTTGAACTAATGAATGTAATTAATTCCATTTTGAGTTGTTTGGGGTATTTTGACCATCCTGAATTTCTAAAAACTTGCATTTTCTAAATAAAACATGCTTTGCATCATTTAACCTTCCTTGTCAGTGTGCTAGTTTTTTCTGCATGTTAGAGATGCAGATTCTGCTAGCATGTAATAGTGAGTGTTTTGCTCTGTGTTGCAGATAGTTCTGTTACTGTCTCTGTAACTGGGAGTACTTTGAGTAGGACACTCTGACCAAGGATTTACCCTGCTTGGGAGCACACCTGTGTTTTAATAGAAACCTCGGGAAACCTCAATAGAGCTGAATTTTCAGAAAGTGTTGCACATCTATACCTTGTGTGTGGACACAGAAAACTGCCACTCAGCTTTGAGGATCTTGGCCTTGTTCTTATAATTTCTGAACTCTCTGCCCTACCTTAGGCTTTTCTTTTGAGATTCAGTAGCATTTATTTCAGGCTTTTTCTATTTGGAAGTCCCAGAAGGCTTTACCTTAATACTGCATGCTAGAAGACTACAATTATTTATAAAGGTATTCCAATAACAAAATTGTAGATAATACAAATATATTGTAACCATATGCCTTGGATTGAAAACCAGTTCATCTCATTTTATAGAAGCTTCTGATATCTCAGCTTTTGGGCACAGATCCAGAAAACAACTTAAACTGTGTGACACTCTGTTTATTACCTAAATTGATTTGAACATATCTAGCAGATAAGGCATTACATATATAAGTTAGAAATAGCTGTAGGTAAAAGGAGCTGCCTTGGCAGTCAGATGGCAATTATCTCTTGGCATATGTGAAGCAGAAAATATAGGTTTCTTTGAATTTTGGGATCCTTAGTGGGCTAGATGGTATTTTCCTATGTCATTTTTCTGAATTCACAATCTGACATTTAGTGTAAAGTGTAGCTGAGGCACCTATATGCTAAACTATTCACTCTGGGTTACTGTTTGCTAACTGGTCTCCTTTCATAGACCATTGTTAACCCCAGTTGCACTTAAGAGTACAAACCACTTCAAACTGAAAATTGTTACTTTGTAATTGAAGCATATTAATCTGCAAGCTGATTTCATAGCTGAAAAAGAGAACTGAACCATTATTATTTGCACTGAGCTTTTGTGTTCAAAACACTTAACATGGGAATCGGCTGGGTGATTTTGATGATGTGGTGTAACCCCAAAGGTCCATCTTTTCAGAGCTCGGCAGCGAGCGTGCGTGCTTCTGCCTGTGGAAGGCCATCAGATTTAGCTGAAAGAGACGAGGGGGGTGGCTGAGCAGTAGGTACTTGTTTGTATTTTTATGTGTAAAATCACGTCCCTTTTAAGACAACTCAGGTCTCAAAGCTGTAGTTTTTAAGATGGGTCACTGATTTTCAGTTTAATACGACAATGGAGGATGTTAACTATAGCATTTGTAAAAAACAAAAAAAACCAAACCAAAACAAAAAGCAACCAGGTGGGGGGAAATGTCCTTTTTGTTTCATCCTTAAGTTGGTGGTTAAATTTATTCTCGCACTGTTTATAAGCAGAACACTCAGAAACAGAAACTTGCCTTGGTTAAACAAGTTCTGCAGTTTCTGACAGAGGTGCAAAAACATTGTCCTTCATGGATTCATTTCAATCCCTGGTGATAACCAGCCTCCCAAGTTTTCAGATGCAAAGATGTGCGAGCATTTTACATGGCCCCAAGTGTCACACCTCACATTTAGTTTGTGTAGGTGTCTGGGTGCTTGAGTGTGCCTTCCAATAACACATAACATTATAAATGGTACATTATAGCCGGATTAATTCATACTGACAAACTGGTGGCACAGCAGGTTTGGTTTGCTACATGTGGTGTTTGTACCAGTATAGCCTTAGATAGCTGCAGTTCCTGATATGGTTCATTGCCCTCATGTTCCAGTGAGTAATGCTGTAAGGGAGATTGCTGTCTTGGTTACACCTTGTTGTCCCATGTGAAAGAGAGAGGCTTGACCCATCACAGTGCTGCACTCAGCCTGTGTTAGCTAATCCACAGGTAATAACATGAACTGCCTGCTTAAGATGATGCAGCTGGGAGAAAAAAACAAACAAATCTGAAGCAACACTTCAGATGAAGAGAACAAATAGTCAAGCAGTCACTTATTGCCACTCTAAGAGGAAAGGTATTTTTGAGTGTTCATATTCTTGCCTCAAAATACATCATCTTTCTTCCCTCCTTTGCTAGTCTGAGCCAGGCAGCACCAGTGAGTCAGAGAGCCTGAACAGCAAATGCAGGTGCAGCCTAAGTTTTTTCTCAGTTTCAGCTGAAAGAAATGGACTGAGTTTTGGCAGCACTCACCTGCTTAGCTTTAATAACAATCACATGTGAGGTGAAGAGGCAAGTGTATTAAAATGGAGGTAGGTTTCTTTCTTTTGTCAGCAGAGATACCTCTTTTCAAACATCTTATCCAGAAAAAGACAAATACTCATGCAGTTATGTTAGGGTTGCTGATGAGAGTACTTGAGTCCCATCAGAATCAAAGATGCACCTCACAGATTCAAATGCTAAATAAGACTGCCTATATTTACTGAAATCAATGAAGTTCTCACCAGAATGTTTGGCATTTCTGAATTCAAACTATAACATAACATTCAAGGAATCCTAGTATGATGAGTGATTTTTTTTTCTCTCAACCTGGAATTTGAGCCATCCTGTTGATTTTTCATGGCTGGTTTTCTCTTGGTGGTTCTTACAAGTAATTTTCCTCCTTATATGGAAAGATTCCAGGGATGGCCATCAGCATCCATTGCAGCTGGCACATTACTAGGTGGAAGGACAGACTCATCTTGGCAATTGGGGAAGGCTTCTGTGCCTGTCAGCTCACCAGGTGGAAGTTACAAACCGCTACTGATTCACTGGGCTGGCTGCAGTTACTGACAGCTCTTTGCTCTTTCATCTGCAAAGTTTGGGGTTTGTTATGCAGTTGTGACCTCTCTGTTCCTATGTGTCCCATGTCCCCCATAAACTCTGCTCAGGATAGAAGTAGCTTGAAAGAGTTAAAGAATAAAAATAAGTGGCTGCGATGAATAAGCTGTATGATCTGTATGATTCACAGAAGTGGAAACTCAACAGCAGTTAAACCTTCAAATCTTAATCTGCTTTGGCTATAATATATCATATGTAAACAGGCATATGTTCACAGGGTAATTTGTGTCTCATTGTCTGACGTCAGAAATTTTGCAATGATATTTAAAAAAAGAAATTCAGAGGTCAGGTGTTTTTTTTCTTTTTCTGTAAGGTGTGCTTTACAAATGAGCAAACCTCAGTGTAGCTGAGAAGGGTCTGTCACTGAAAACTGGTGAGAATCTGTTGCTGCCAGAGAAGTTCCTCGTTGTATTTTGAGTGATTAAAGAAACATCTAAGCAAATATTGAGATAAAGAAAAGTCAGGAGAGATCCACACAAACAGCTTTCAGTGGTACCCTGAGGCAGGAGCCATTAACACAGCTCGCTCTCTCACTTGAACAGATTCTTCCCATGAATTCTCCATTTTACAACTAGAGACTCTGAAGTTTTCAAATCAGTGGAGCCATGATGTATAAAGATAAAAACTAATCAGGCAGGCATCTCATGGAAGATTTAGCACAGTTATGCTAAAGGAGTGCACATTCCTCTGAATCAAGGACATATTCATCATCTCCAGAGCTGTGATCTTATTCATTTTAGAAGAATCAAAAAGACTAGGCTAAGTCAGTGCTCCCTTGAGAAATACCCAGAGCAAAAGCAGGGGCTGCAGGAAGTGATACCGATGACTCACCAGCCAAGGCCAACACACTGCCTTATTTTAGACAATGTCCCCTTGGACATATTCATGTTTCCTCATGAGTGGCTGATGACAAAGGTGTTACCTACCTGTGGTCACAAGTACCTCATGATGTTTTTCTTAAGAATACCTCTAGTATTGTGGCCAAAACTAGCTTAGAATTCACTGTGCCTCTTAAGTTCCACTGCCATTTCAAGTGAATCTTAATCTCTACCTTCCCTAAAAATCTTCACGTGTGGATTCTGAGGTACTGTGTGGTCCATTAACTGAACACTTCCATAATGGATAGTGGTCTGTTATGCACTGAAGAAGATGCACCTAGAAAAGGGCTTCCCATAGCAGCAAATGTTAGAATATCCCAAGGACAGATCTTCTTTTCTGTAGCTACAGCCAAAGCCTTAAGCTGATGGCTCCTCACTACAGGTACAGACTAGTACTCACTGCAAATTCCAACTACTCCATAAATAATAATTTATTTTCTGGCCATAAAGTACTTACTGTTAATACATAATGTTTCAAACATACGACGTGGTCACAGAATGCTCAGAGGAGAATCCTAAGTGTAGGTGCCAGCGGATTCTAGGCTGCCATCCAGTAACTACAAAGAGCAAAAACATTAGATTGATTGTCAAGCCAGTAAAATTCTGGGATGCGTGTACATCATGCAGTAGATGCCCATGTATGTTCTTAGCCTCTTGATGCATGAATAATCTCAGTGACTTGTCAGGACTGCAGCAACGTGCAGAGAACACAGTGTGTTTCATCATTTCAAAGCACTGCAGAAAAGGCTGTGGTGGGCTGAGAAGAAAGCCTGCCTCGCTTGTTCTGATGTTAGTCCAGACCCAAAGACAGAGTCTAAAAGCACACACATGAATTGAATTGCATGGGAAGCTTACCAAAGGAAGTGTTTGCTTGTAAACTCAGTATGAATAGGATCTTCTCTGACCGCAAGGGAAACGGAGACACTCATTCACTGTCCGCTTGTGCAATCAACTTCTGAAGTAAAAAACAGGATTTGAGGTTTAAAACCTGAACCTTCACACGTCTTTCAAGCAACAGAAGAAGTGTTCATGCTTTTTAGTTCACAAAGTAACAAAGTCAGGAGGTGCTGCTCATAAGACTCCTTGGATTTGATAACAACAGGCTTATCAAAAGGGAATCATTCAGAGTTCGGAGCAACAGCAGCCCTCAGAGCAGCTTTTGTGTAGGCTTGAGGGGAGACATCTGAACACCATTACATTGCACTCCTTTTGATGTCACTACATGCTCATCATGTGTTTTATATCTTAGCAGTGAATCTGCTGCCAAGTTCCACAGTGTCTCAGGATGGTTGTAGGTTTATCACAGATGCGCTTCCTGCCTATAAAAAACATTGCTTTTAAATTCTTTATCACCTGGCCACAAAACTATGCTTTGAGCCCTGTCTGTGGAGGGTAATTCTGTACACCAGTAGATTATGGATGACCTGCTGGCTTTAAATTGATGGCTTTCAGTCTAGTAGTAGTTTAAGTTTCATTACATGGCATGAGATAACTTGTAAAATAAATATATTTATTTTTCATAATTTGTCTGATAGTTTAATATTAGCCAAAATATTTGTGTGTCTTGTCTCTCTGATCCAGTAACTAAAATAAAGACTTTTTCATTTCTTTCTGTAGCAAGCATCCAGTTTATTTATAAGTGTCCTAATCTAACAGAGATTTACTCTGTGTGTCCCATGAGACATATTATCAAAGTTACCAGACCTGTCCCAAGCACTTGGGAAGTGGGGAGATGGTTACACAATTCTCATTGCCTCTGGCTGCTCTAGTTATAGAGATAAAGGGTCAGAGAAGTGGAGCAGCGGAGATAATTTTGTGAGCATCTAAGGAAAAGCAGCTGCTCAGGTGATCGTAGGCGTTGGCTGAGGGCAAGACTGTAGATACTTGAGTACCACGCAACAAAAATCCCCTTGAATAAAATAACAGGACAGGAAAGGGAACATCAGTGTCTGACCACCAGAAATTCTGGATTCTTCAGTCTTCATCTCGTAGATGCACTATGCTGCTTGTCTGTTTTCAAAAAGAGAAAAAATATATGAAGAGCAACGTTCACCTTGCCACAGCTCTGGCAAATCTGTGCTGGGCAAGACCCTTCTGTCTCCTGGGACATGCTGGTTCAGTGATACATATCCCAGAGGATCTTTTTCTGCTCCAGTCCCAGATCCTTGTCTAGCAGCTGGGATGCCAGGGAAGAGAGGAGACAGCGAGCAGTTCTGTTTGCTTTAACCAGCCTTTTCCAAGGCAGGATCTACTTTTTGTAACAATTTTACAATGTCCTTGGACTGAGAGCTCCTCAGAGTTCCGTAGCATTGGGAGGGTGCCTGTGGCACACTGTTATCCTTTGCCAAGCATGAAGACTACTGATCTGTACTCCCAAAGGCCACCCCTGTCCTTGTCGGAGCATCCAGGGCTGGCTGATTGTTCCTCGTATTCCACTGGCTCACAGCAATCCATTTTTTTCTGGCACTTGGATAGCAGGGCTCATCCACAGAGTCAATGTTTTATCCCAGCATTATGTCTGTAAGTATAATTCTGCACTGACCTGTGCTCCACAAAGATTTACAATGTTGTCCATTTGAGATACATGATTCTGCCCTGGTTCATTTAGAAGGGCTGTAAAACCATTCAGGTTCAAATTCACCACAGGCACAGCTGGGAATTGCTGTGGTAACGTTCATTTCACACGCTAAGCGAGTAGTCCCTGAAAAGTCTTTTCTGGGGAAGAGGGAGATGAAATGATGAAGGCTTGTGCAGGGAATAGAAGGAAGATCCACAATAGCTTTTGATTTCAGGAAGAGACTAATGCAGGAGATGGGCCTGGATGCTTAAAAGCCTGTGGTGTGACCTACAGCAAACAGGAGGCTGCTGTGGGCAAGTGTGGTAGCCCCACATACTGCCAAAAAAATCATCTAATACTGAAATGTTGCAACACTCTTCTTCACAAACCTCTCCCTGGAGTTCCTCCTGTTCTCGGTACTGGTTCCTAACCAAACCAGGCTTGCATGCAAGTGCTGGACGAGATCGGCAAGGAGGACAAGTTTCAGCCCTTTGAGAAGCAGCATGCGAGGAAGGTCATCAGACATCATCCTTGGCATCCCTTTTCTTCTGCATTTTGAGGATCAGCCAAAATTATAAAAACACAGAAAACCAAAATTGGAATCACTTCTCTTGTCTGCATCTTGGAATCAATTTCGTAAAGATGGAGTGGAGTCTGGATATAGCCCTTTCCTTATGTTCCATACCCAAAATATAAGACTGAGAATAAGGCAATGAGCATTATTAACTTGGTTAATAATTGCTACTATATGTTTATTCATGGCATTAATGCTTTGAGTACCTGAGAGCATGCCAGGCATTTTAAAGAAGCACTAAACCTTTCCTGCAGTCAAGAACTACCCCATTTTGCAGAGACCTGACACCTGAGAGATTTAAGCTTTGGTTCATCTCAGCCCCATAAAGATAATTGAAGTTTAGTCTATTCTAAACTAGCTGAGAGAAGGGACCCACCAGCACTCCTGGGATGAATTTCCCAGGTGTTATCTTTTCCTGGCCTTTGGGGACTGCATGCCCAGCTTGTGTGCTCCAGTTAGCAAAGACACCCACACACAGAGCATGAAATCTGTGGCATATCTGTGAGAAGAGGCTGCCCAAGCACCAGGAGAATGTGGCAGGACTGTGGGGTCAATGCAGTGTGTACCTCTCTGCTCTCCTGTTACATGTCAGATGTTTTAGGCGGGGGGGGCAGGAGAGGGGCTTTTTTCCTAAATGCCATCCCCCTGACAGCCATCAAGCTGTCAGTAGCTTGAACCAAGCACTGTGCCCTGGTGCCACTGTGCCCCGATGGCATAGGGACACCATGAGGTGACCAGCTGTGGACCTAAGAGTCTTTAAATGGGTGGGAGGCTGGAAAGAGGGAGGATGCAGCTTCCAACAATGGAATATATGGCCCTTCTCCTCAGCAGGGACAGTGGTCTGGCACAGGAGCTGAGAGAGAGGGATCTTCAGGAGGGTAATGACCAAAGACAGGTCCTTACCCCAGGTATATCACTTGGTTTTTACACTGGCCCCTTCACTCCTGCTCACACTGAGATAGCTACAGGGGATACTGTTATACACAAATAATGCCTCTGAGTAGGTTTATGCAGGTTCATTGCTATTATGATGTGTTTACACCCTTGCCCTGTCCCCAAAACCACTGACACTGCCCATGCCCTCCCCCCAACACACCTTGGGCTATCTCAGATATAGGAACCAGCCCACATGTGACAGCATCCTACCAGCTAAGCTCACCCGGCAGAAGCATTCCAGTCATCAAACTTCCAGGAAGGGAAAAGTAAAACAAAAGGCCTGATGGATACTTGTGTGTATTTTACCTATAAGAGGAACAAAAAAAACCCAGCTTGCTTTGAGAATTGTGGTGAATCATTCAGAAACAATCTGCAGACATTAAGGGAATTGTATTTCTGGGAAAAAGAAAAAAAAAAAAAGAAAAGGAAATGCAGGCCCTGGGATATCCCTTTATGGCATATGCATTTTATGTTTAAATGCATTAATGGGACTGCTATGCCATGAGTCATCCCGCACAAGAGTTTCATGTGTTTCTTAAAATACACTAGAAGTAGCTGAAGGCATGCACGGGTTTGCCGTGCAGTTATCTGTCAGGAATCTGAGCAAATACCTGCACGTGTGGCATCAGAGGCTTCAGAGCTGGGGGAGGGGTAGGGGGACCTGTCTTGGACCCTCTATGCTGCTTATACGGACCATGACTGGGGAAACCAAAAGGGGACAGGAACTGAGCCTACTGAGTAACAAAACATAGGCTCCCTGTGTTAATATTAGGGAAGCCTCAGCACTGAATTACAGAAAATTTGCATATATGTAAACAGAAAACTGGAGAGTTTCCTTCTGGAGCACTCTTGTCAAAACTACAGCTGTCTGCATTTTTTTTCCAGGGATGATTTGTTATCTGGTTTTCTCTTTTTTTTTTTTTTTTTTTTTTTTTTTTGTCTTCCGTCCTGGCTGCAAGTCTATTTAGTATTCCTTTAAACCCCCACTTTTGAGCGTTGTGCAGCTCGACTCAGTCAGCTCCTCACAGGTCACTTCAGCTCCTAGCTGCTGCCTGCTCTCCAAGCTATTCCTTTTTCGGACAGCAGATAGTTTTAACACTGGAAACACCCAGAGATGAGTATTTCTGATGGTGCACGTTACGTCTACGCTTATGAGCAAACGGTGGTTAGCACACAACAGCTTCGTGATGCAAACCTCGGGGCGAGGGATGGTTGTTTAGTGATTAGTGAAAAGCAAGAACTGGGGCTGGGAAACTCAGATGTATGGAGGAGAAGCTCCTGGAGAGGCAGGTGGACTCGCTTTCTCACCGCAATTATTCACGGTCGAAGGGGGTCTCCACCGCGCCCCCAACCTCCCTCGGGTGCCCCGGTGGGTCTCCCGTCGCCCCACCGGGCTGTGCCGGGGCCGGGGGCGCGGAGAGCGGCGGACGGAGCGGAGCGGGCGTGTCCCAGCCTCCCTCCTCCCATTTCCCCGTGCGTCAGGGCCGGGAGGAGGAGGAGAATCACCTTTTTTTTTTCAATTTTTTTTTTTTTTTTTTTAAAAGCCTCCAACTACTTTAGCGCGGAGTCGGCAGCAGATGGTGGGCACGGCCCGAGGTTACGGCGGGGAGAGCGAAGGGATGCGCGCAGCGCGCACCGCCCGGCTCTAGCACCGCGCCCGCTCCGCTCCCCCGATGAGCCGCCCCGCGTCCCTGCTGCCGGCCGCCCGCTGCCGCAGCGCCCCGGCCAAGCGCCTGCAGCCCCTCCACGACGGCCCCGCCGAGGAAGCGCCGGCCGCCAAGTGCCCTCGCCTCGCCGACTGCGGACCCCCGGACTGCCTGAGCGCTCCCGGGTCGCCGTGCGCCCCCGCCTCTCCCGCCGGCGGCGGAGGGGCGGCGGGTCCCAGCCTGATCGCCTCGTACCTGCTGCTGCCGCTGGCCGAGCGGGAGCAGGTGTCCCGGGCGCTGAGCGTCAGCTCGGGCCGGGAGCTGCGCTGCAAGGTGAGCGGGAGCGGCGCGGGTGGGCAGAGGGTACCTCCTGCCGTGTCCGAGCGCCCGGCCCGGGGACAGCCCTGCCAAACATCCTCCCCGCTGCTCCCCGACTGGAAACGCCCGGCCAGCCGCCGGTGGGGGTTTGCACTCGCTGGGAGTAAGCTGGAAACTCCGGGTTAACTCGGAGCGCCTTCCTCCGAAAGGCTGTGGGGACGGTGGTTTGTTTTAGTTTTCCTCCCTGCCTTTCAATATAAAACGAACAGGAAGGGTCTCGGTAGCCGCTTTGAGCAGCGCTTCTGCCGATCCTGCCGAGCCCTGGCTCCCCTCCAGCTCCCTCGTCATTGTTTGGGGAGAGTTGCTACGCGAGCGGCAGCTTTCAACGCCCTTGAGAATGAATTTGGGTTTAATTTCCTCTATACAGGTGTTCCCCCTCAAACACTACCAGGACAAGATCCGGCCTTACATTCAGCTGCCGTCACACAGAAACATCACCGGGGTCGTCGAAGTCATCCTCGGGGACACCAAGGCTTATGTGTTCTTTGAAAAGGACTTTGGGGACATGCACTCCTATGTGAGGAG